GCTGCAGATCGGGTATTTATCAATCAGGAATGGGCGCACACCGATCTATTGGCTTCACAAAGCAAACAAGCTCCGTATGTGTGGCAAAGGTCACGAACAGGCATAGATGCATTAGGAAGAAACTGGCAATTTTTAAATTCCAAATTGTAAGTGTTTATTATGTGCAAAATAGCAAAACTTCGCTGGTTATGTAGAAATGGACATACTTTTACTGGCGGTACGTCTTGTAACGGAGAAATAGTCAAGTGTTATACAAAGACCCTTCTCAAGGCAGGGCTAGTGCATCGCAACAGAAGCTGTTTCCAGTTCAGTACTCGCGCTATGGAGTTTGAAAATGTTGCCATTGAGGGAGTCGAGCTATCAAAGGCTGTTGTTTGGGACAACATTTTTCCTGATATTTTGGTCAAAGTGAATTGTTAACGGGAAATTATTTGAATTATTTCATATTTGTTTTGTTCTCTACTGCTCATTTTGGTTAATAAGTAGCGATATATATATATATATATATATGTCAACTAAGCGTTTGAGCCTCACTGTTGTGGTTAGGATCTCACTCGATCCCATTCTGTATGTTCTCCCCCCAAGTGTTAAAAATATTAACATTAATGGGCGTGCTGTACAGTAGTCTGTCTACGCATTATTGGTGCGATCTCAGTTTCTGAGGCAGACGAATTGAATGTCAACACTCACATTCAACGGGTTTGTGGTAATAATAAAAGCAAACGTTACTAAAATACAGGCAGTAATATAACAGCATAAATAAACCGTTCGAACGAAATGCTAGACGTTGTCAGTCAGGTGGCATTATGACGTTTGGTGGTACGCTGGTCCCACTCGCGCTTAAGAGGCTCGATGGATGTGGACATGACGAATCTGCAGGCAGAGCATTCATGTGCATGTGCATACTGGCGCCTTTACGGAAAACCATATATTTGTCTATGGTATTAGAAGGAGATTATGTGGGGTTCATAAAATTTAACAGTAGATTTGGGTCATATTGTCAACTTTACAAGCCACATGGTAAGTGCAGAGATATGAGGTTTTCTGAACGGCTATTTGACGGTATTAAAAAATCTCATAATTATATACTCTTGAAACCGAATTATACCCTTTCTTCGAGTATAAAATTGAAAGAAGCTGTCATTTTTACCAAATAAGCGAAAGAAAGAATATTTTTATGCATGTTTTCCATAAAACATGAATTTTCAAGGGCATCGAAAACCAACGATAAAAATGCATGCTACTTAAGTAGCCACTTTTTGCAAGGTATTTTTTTGCATGCAGCCGGAAAGAAGATTATTCGACAGCTGGCATGCTCAGGTAACCGAATTGTTATAGAATTACGCTACACAATCATTAATTTTGCAACCCTACTTAATTAATCCTTTCAAGAGGAACACGCATTTCGGAATTTCGGTTGACATTTCACGAGTTAGCATACCTACTCAATATGCAGACCAACCAGTATTAATTTTGGAAACCTACTCAATTGTTTTTGCAAGCTGCTTTACATTGCTGGGTTCTCAAATTTTGAGCGCATTTTAACTAATAAAAACTTCAGTCACATAGAATACACGAACTGAATCCATATATCTGTCTGGTGCAAAAATGGGTGCGGCATAGTAACCAACAAGTTAATTCACCAATAAGTGAGGAGATAAAAGTTTCTTTTGACAACTCAAGAATCCTTGGCTTTCGGCATGAAACAGCTGTTTCATACTACTCCTTCGGGGGGTTGCACTCGCATTTTTTCGCAATTCCATGCAAGATTTCTCGCAAACGGCTGAATGGAGTAAAACAGCAAATGTTCTGGGGGGTTTCGAAAAAAGCATGGCGACTGTTCGAGACAGCATCGCTTGCTAGCCACGCATTTACCCAAGTCCAGTTCACCTACCGCTGAATCCTTATCACGCAGTCGATTGGAAGAGAGTTTAAAATCTGAAACACGCTTCTTTACACCATACATCCCAAGGTCCTTATTTGTAGCATTAATGCATAGCTGACTGATGGGAAGGCTAAATAAGCCTGAAGGTGATGCTACTTGCTCTTTGCCATTTGACAGCAAACCTTCTGACTAGCCTGATGCCAAAGGCGATTATGAAATTTTTCGGTGAAACTCCCATTTTTGGAGAATCCAAAGTTCTAGTTGTTGGCGGGCAGGTATCAGCTAGCTCCTCATTATCTGTCAGTCTTTTGAGTAACACTTAGTCATCTTTAGGTAGCTGCAATAGCCGACCACCCATCTAAATCATGAGTAAATGACGATTAATACTTGAACTGTCTTCCATGAATAAAAATGAGGTGTGTATGGAATTACGTTTAGACACGGGAATAAGGATTCCCTTAGGTGTCATTGTGCCAAATTCCAGGGGATCCAAACTTCAATGTCCTTTGGCCCATAATCCTAAACCTCATAGCTCTGGAATTAGCCTGATACTAACCACTACGGGGACGTATCTGGATTTGCATGGAGGGGAAACGCCAGGGCTTGATTATGTGGTCCCTTAAGCAGAAAATGTGAACGGGAACCATCTGCAATACGGGCGACTTTGAGTTAATTTCCAATGAAATTGGGATTGGGTTTAGGTTTAGGGTTAGAGGTTGAACATTAGGTTTAAGGCCAGATTTAAAGTTAGCAGTCAGGATCACGTTTATAGATAAGACAGGCACTAGTGTTAAATGTAGAGTTAAGGGTAACATGTGGTTCTGTGGCCGCACCTAAAGTAAACAAACCCCAGCCACATGTAATACGGGAGCGGTGGTAATACTTTTTACAGGTGGGGCCGGGGAACGCGCAGGCGACTAAGTCAAATAGTTATATGCAAAACATGAGCTCTTGGGAATGCGCGGTTGTACTTTGAAAGATTGAGAAATAGTCGCTCTAACTCCAACCCCTAACCCCAACCCTAACCTTGACCCGTGAGTCCAACCCGTAATCCCTAAACCTCAACCCCAACCCCAACAGTATTGTGTCTATCAGGTGGGGATACATAAGCACATCTTACCGAGTTAAGGTTCAGGGTAGGATTAGAGTGAAGATCAAGGTAACGGTTTGCTTTTGTATCAGAATTATCGTTGGGGCAAGGACATGGGAGTATTTTGTCATTTCCGGAATTACGCGCAGGTCCACTTTTATTACTTGGGCGGGAGTTCCTATTTGAAGAAGAAGATGGACTCATCGGAACAGGTTTATTTAGATGCTGACGTTTCGAAGAGCTTAGTCTGTTCTCCATTGTGAAAGCGTAAAATGCACTTGATCGACCAGAAATACCAAGTGGCGTGTCACGTTGGTCGGCGTCGTGCTAATCGATTTTTCTCTCCTCTCGCTGCCTCGGCCTCTCAGGGGATGGGTGACGCGGGTTTTGTCTGCGTCCTTTGTGAGTCACCACTTCGTCGGGGGGGGGGGGAGGTGACTGTCGAGTGGTCGGTCTGGCGGTTCTTGTTCTTCTTCACCGAGTAAACTCGTCGTCGGGCTGTCTCCGTACGGCCTTCTTAAGCCCGGTGTGGTTTTTTGATCCTGAGCTCTACGATTGTGATGACGTAGGACGTTGTAAACTGCAGGAGGGTCCAGCTGCCTGTTGGTGGAATGGGCATCAAAGAACCACGTCTCAAGTGTTAGCCGTTCTGATTTTGTGTTGCCCCGACCTATGATAGTAGCTCGCTGGTGATTGGAAGTATGTCCAGTTTCTCCAGATTGTGTTGTTAAATGAGAGTTTGGGTCTAACCTCCGAGTAGCCGATTTGTGCTCTTGTAGGCGAGTCTGCAAATTCAGCCCGGTTTATCCCACATAGTTGCAGTCGCCTTCATTGCAATTTATTTTGCAGATAACTGCCGAGGTTTTGGCCGGTGGCAATGGGTCCCTAGGTTTCATAAGACGGCGTCAAATTGTTGCCTGGTGTCATTGGGCTATGCCTACTCTGGCAGGTTGTAAAAATCGAGAGACTGCCTCAGAGACCTCTTTAAAGTAAGGAATGGTCCTCCAAACTTCAGGTTTCTGTTCATTTAGCCGTAGTCCGTGAGCCCGACGTCTGCTTCTTTCGATAAAATGTCTGGGATAACCATTGGCTGCAAATAGGTCCTAATGATACATTTCTTCGGCTCTTTTATCTTCTGGCGTGCTGCAGAGTGTTTCGAATCTTTGGAATAGAGTGCGGACAAAGCTAGGTTTGTGAGACAGGGAATGGTTGCTGTTGAAGTGTAGGATCTGTCTCGTGTCGGTGGATTTTCGGAATTCTGCGGTTTGCAGTTGTCCAGCTGTACACCGGCGCACAAGCACGTAAAGCAAGGGCAGTTGGTTGTTCGTGTCTGCTTCCATCGTAAATTGGATATTCGGGTCAACAGACTTCAGCAGTTCCTTTAGGTACTGAATGTCAGTTTCATTGACAACGACGAAGGCGTCATCGGCATAGCGAGCGCAGAACTTTGGTTGATACTTGGTGAACACCAAGTCTTCTTACGTTGAAGAACTACTTCAGCGATTTGGCCTGATAAAGGGGAGCCAATATAGGAGTGTCTTTTATTTGTTCGGACTTTTGTCCTGTTTAGAGTCAGTCCTACTGGGAAACCATCTGACATGTTCGGCTTGACCCCGTTCCCATATAAATGTACAGGTTTGATGCAAATTTATCGAAAACACTCGTATGGCTGCCAGCTGGACTTCTGCCAAAAAATCTTCCTGATGATTACATCCTGTGCGACATTCGGAACATCAATTTTGAATTCTTCTTTTACTTGCTACTAGCTGTTTGTTAGTAACCAGACTTTACTTGGGTACGAGTTATATCGACTGTTTTCTGACAGCCATGACCTTGGCTGCGTCTATTTCGGCGAACAAACTAGCACTGGCTCAAAGGAAATCCAACTAATATTAACGACCATGGAGGTACATACTATGAGATGTTGGTGAAAGAATTTATGTTCTGTTTTTGTCTATTTTCTGCCACCTTGAACACCGGGCCCTGAAAGACCGTGCGACGGAGGAAGAGGAGTACTTCGAACAGATGAGAAAACAGTGCACGAGAGCGGTGGACTTTGTCACTGACTACCTGCAGGGAATTTCGCGGTACCGCGTCTTTCCAGACGTTGAGCCGGGCTTCCTTCGGCCCCTCCTGCCTGCCGAGGTCCCACAGACGTCGGAATCATGGGATAAGATCTTCGAGGATGTGGAGAACATTCTGATGCGAGGGGTAAGGTCTACTTCTGCAATTACACATGCCTTTTGCATTACCAGGGAACGCTTTCCCACATCTTTCTCATCTATTTTGTGGTAATTTGACTTACCCTTACGATCGATATAAATCGTTTATGGATGCCCGGGCCCGGCAACACTAATCTGATAGCCTCAAGAAATCATCAGGAGTACCGCCAAAATCGTATTTTGACATAGGTTAGGAAGTGGAGCAGGTCTAGGAGCGCTGTCGACGTGAAAATGTCCGGAAAGTATGGCTTGTCCTTGTCGAAAGGCAAGAAGACAGAATTGCCACGGCAGCCTTTGCTCCAGTCGTAAGTGTTAAAGCAGCGACAGCGATCGTCCAACCATGCTAGAAGCCGCCGACGCAGCCAAATCGCAGGGTTTGGTCGTGTGTCTGAGCCACATCTGCCTTTTGCCAATAAGTAAAGATCAAAATATCGACCGGCGTCACGGTATCGATATGCCGAAGGCTGTGTCAAACCCGCACAAACGATTAAGTGGGACTGTTTGGTTCCGGTTGCTTTAATTGCCATAGGACCACATAAACACCAATGAAACTCTGGTGAAACGATCAGTACAGAATTTTTATTCCTACTTATGGGGTGCATGGAAGTCAACTCCATTCAGGAGATATTTCTTCCTTCCCCGTTCATTCTTATCTTTCTTCTCACTTAATCCCTGAGAGGGGCTGACTAAAACTTTGGTACAACCATCATCAATTACTACCTCAGCGGTGATTGCGAGAGCTATTAATTACAGTGCGCACATGGTTCCACGGTTGCCACGTGCTATAAATACTGCCCTCCTTGTGCCACCATTACCCTTATCTGCGACTCTCTCTGATGATGGATTCGAGTGAGAATCTGCAACATCAGGCCAATACATTTCTGGTTCCAGTAATCACATCTTCGTCTAATGAACTGCTGCCTAGAACTCGCCTGTTCACTTCTGTCAACAATATGCCTTTTTATTCTTTCACATGTTCAACGCAGGTAGTCCACTGGCATCATCCTAATTTCTATGCATACATTGGCATCGCAAACTCCTATGCAGCCTTGTGTGCGGACATCATTTCCAGTGCGATCGGTGGGGTGACCTTTACGTGGGTGAGCGCATTTAATTTTCCATTTTCTCCCTCATTCCTTAACTGCCTATAATACCTATGACATCTGCTAATCTTTGAATAGTTAAGCTTAAGTTCCGAGCCCTGAATTTTAGAACAGACGGTTGAGGCATTTTTCTTCATAAAAACCAATTTTATCTATTCGGCAGATTAGAAGTTTTGTGATGTCAAGCAGACGTCGTTGAATATCCCTACCTTAATATAGAGACGCTGCTAACTACGCATGGGCGTCTAGTCTTTTGATGAAAGTTCTGGGCTACTGTGTTACCAAGCGTTTTTTTTAATTTTATACCTGCCGCTAACGAGTGTCTCGTCTTAGGAGGCGACAGATTATTCAGACGCTGAATCCTTGTATTCAGGCTGCTAGATGGGTCACCAGGCCACCCCGTGCGCTGCATGGTTTCAGGTGAAACCGCACTTTACCAACCCTCTCTCACAACTAGGCCTGAGGTTGATAGTAGTGAAAAGAAATCGGTCGGTGTAATTTCTGCATGCAGTATTAACTAAAGTGAATCCTAGCCCCATCCCCAATAACTTACTCAATCAACTAAATGACTCCCAAGCGTCGCTTATTCACCACCGCCCCCGTCATCCTAGACGCACGGACATGCGTGTTTTAATTTTTTCCTCAGTGTTTTTTAAAAATGTAATTATGTTTGTCGCGCCGAAGCGACATTTACTTCCCTGCCTTTTTAAATGACAGAGCATTGGCTTATTGAAGAATTCAACCAAACAGACTGTTCCGAAGTTTTTAGATCTGGGAGACAATTTCCTCCTAAAAATTAGCTAATTTCCTTGTAACATACCTGTCTTAATTCGCCATTTAAAGTGATTTATGTGAAGTGATATTGCTGAAGAAGGGAGTTAACCAGTCAGCTTGCAGGCGTGCTCGATCAGCTGTGCCGTGGACCCCAATAGGAAAGTGCCGACAAACAGATGGATGGCCATTTCTGACCCACGAGACGCCGTTAGACAGCCAGACGACTAAAAAGCCACAAATGATCATCCCCTCTATCTTGTTTTCAACGACATTCCCTCCGTCCCGCAGAACGGATTTTTCTGTTTGCACTCCTTGATGGGACAGCCATTGATTTTAGTCAGGCTCTTCACGAGTTGCAATGCTCAACGCAAACGGAAGTATCAAAATAACAGGTTTTTTTTATTTTCATCCTATACCGTTGGCTAGACAAGCAAACTTTGATCATGTCGACGTTAAGTAAGCAGTTAATAAGCAGGTCAACTCTACCTGATGTTTGCTGCTCTTCTGAAAACAAACTCATCAGGCGTTTCTAAAATTCCTGTTTTACGTATTTCTCTTGTCTAAATTTTACACAAACAGAAAGGATTAACGATATAATCACCGGACAGGCTCCTTCCCTTTCTTATAGGCATCTTCCCCTGTGAGCACGGAACTGGAAGTCCTGATGCTGGACTGGCTTGCGAAATTGTTTGCCCTGCCAGAATTCTATCTTTCGCATACAAATGGCGGAGGCCTCATTCAGGTAGGCAACCACTTGAATGTGCTAGCTCATAAGTTGTTAACTGAAACTCTGGAATGTGCTCTTGATCTAAAGAGGACTGCTGAAGTTGCATTGTAACATTAATTATCGTAGGGAATAATCCCAAGATAGTTCAGTCATGCCAGGATTCTGCCTTTCAAATGAGCCTGTTTGCGGCCGTCTGAAAAAACCACGCTCCGTAAAACACGACTACTTAAGCGGCATGAATTTTCTCATTGGTTTTCGATGCCCTTATAGATTCAAACATTAGGCAGAAAACATGCCTGAAAAGGCATACATAGTATCGTTTGATCTTAAAATAATTTCTTATTATAAGACTTTTTGGATTGTTAAACGTACAACATGGCATCCGAACGTATAGTAATACTACTTATAAATTATACAACCCAGTCCAAGTTCACTGCACAACTCTACGAAACCTATATGACATCTTCCAGACAACGGAGAGATGTGTACGATTCCCCTTTGGCGGAATAAATACAGCATGTAATTCGGAAATCCTGAATGCACGTGTAAAGGCAAGCGAGGAGAGAAATTATCGGGGAATTGGAGAGGTTTTTAAAAACCGGAAGCTATTCCCTCTTCAAGTAGGAGATTTAAAGATGACGTGATTTGCTACCGTATAAGCACCGGAGAGAATCTTTTTAGTTTACGTTTTCTATGAAATATGTCTGCATTTATAAGGGCATCGAAAATAAATGGCGAAAATACTTAGAACCTAAGTAGTCATTTTTACGAGGTGTAGCCTTGCCAACGGCCGAAAGGAAGCTCATTCAAAAGCCGGCATCTTGGCGCGACTGGAAAATCTTTGGGTTATGATGCACGGTAATTAATATTAGAATACTAATTAAGTAATATTTCCAAATTGAAAACATGCTTCAGAATTTCGATTAATATTTCATGAGGTAACACATTTAGTATAATCCTGCAGCCCGTCTAATTTACAGTGACAGTCACCTGTCCACTGTTGATACAATTATTAATCGCGATGTGGCCTAAGAGTGTTCTTCGAGTTCATGATGGTGGCAGTATTCCCTAAATTGTTCGGCTGTGTTAAGCTATAAGCGGGGTCCCGTAACGCGATGAGTCACGCATGAAATACCTTGTTGATCTGTACAGCCTTTGATATTTTCTTTATAGTTCTTTGATGTTACTCGCCATCCAATTCTTTCTCGCATACTTCCTCTGCGTGTAGAAAATGGGGATTTCAAAGGTACACACATAAGTTTCCTCAGATAAACTGAGGTAAACTGAGTAAGACCTTGTGTGATTCACCAGTGTGTCCTACCTTGAGACCGCCAACCTATCGATTTCCCCCGACAAGGTTCATTAATTAGTTCCGCAATAAGCATGATTATCATTAAAGGGCTGACCAATGAGGCGTTTGCTCCTCAGAATGCTTAAATTATTCTAAACGAATAGACTGGAGATCGAAAAGCTGCGAGCTATCCGCATTCAAAAGAACTTAAATGTACAGAGTGATAGGCCGCCTACGAACTACGTTTATTACCTACGACAGGATAGAACTTTGTATTAAATGCAATAATCTTGTCTGCCATGTGCTTGTTCAACTTAAAGTTGTCCTTCTGTCCGACTAATTACCAACGGGTAACGGTAAGACGCTCGATAAGGAAATTGTCAATCGCCAAGCGGGCTTGTGGTGAAGCCACAAATGATTCTTTGCCTATAATAGGCTCGAAATTCAGGAAAAAAATGGCTCAGATTCCTAACAAGATGCCTCCAAGTTATCACAGGCAAGCGGCCTATTTAGGAAAAATAATCGACATTACTCCATCTTGCCATTTCTGTCTTCGTCCACACAGTGATTTCTGCTGATGATAATCAGAAGCTCATGTATGGGGTGTTAATTTTTCTAAATTTTAGGCCACATCAAGCGAGTGCACATTCCTCGCTCTCCTGAATGCTCGGAATATTGCCATTGAGAAGTACCAAGCACGCAACCATCAAGCCTCAAAATTTGAAATTATGGAACGTCTGGTCGGCTACTGCTCGGAGGAGGTGAGTACACCCATCCAGACGAAGGCTAAATCCGATGACCTAGGGATTTTCTTAGGTGCCCCCATAGCGGATGCTTGACGCTGGAAACCCCATTGACTTCTTTGACAGGAATATGAAAGAACCGGCAATTGTCTTCCTTAAAGGCACACATTAAATGTCTTCATGGGTTACCATTATGTATTTTAACATATCAAGAAGCGCCGCTAAGACTTGTCTGTACTTAGGCGAAGGCTAAGGATTAGGGTTTTGCTTGCGTTTTGGAACTTGTCTAGGACACACTTTCTCCAACCGAGCGACCTAGTATGATTTTCGTTGTATTTTCCTGTTGAACTAATTAACCTGGAATTTAATTGACTATCAAAGTAGAATCGTTATTTTTTCTGCTTAGATTATTTGTCAATGCATGAAAGCTGACAAGTTAAACTTGATCACTAACAAATAGTGTAGTGCACGATGTGCTACTCCTTTTCAAGGCGCATGTCTGTGTCGAAAGGGCGGGTCTCCTGGCACTTCTACGCATTCGTCCATTGCCCCGCAACGAGCACTTTGAGCTGGAGGGTCAAACTCTTCAACAGGCCATCGAGCAAGATCTCGCTGACGGATTGATCCCCTTCTTTGTAAGCAGTTCTTCTGACTTATACCAAACTAATCAGGTTTCTCATGGAGGTTTTAGTTTATCCCCAAATATCGGAAATGTTTTTGGTTGTCCGGAGGGGGCACAGTTGTAATTTGCAAGCAAAGTTAATTTATAGTGAGGCAGACTTTCACTGCATCCAGTTCACTTTCTTCTCTCAAGCCTACCATGGTCTGATGATAAACCAATGGCTGACAAGATGAAGCGGCCAGTTCACGTGTGCTACCCAACTTACTGTCTAAACTCCACGTCCTTAACAATGATATTTCGGATTCCCCATTGAAGAAAGCTGCCGGATATAAAACAAAGGAAGGAACCACTGCTGCTCGATTCCTATTTTAGGAGAAAAGTTACTTTAGGCAGAATAGCATTATTAACAAAGACTGGGGAGCCTGGAATGGCAATTTCTGGCTTATTAGCCGTCGTCAGCCAGCCATACCCAAGCCCGAAGTGTGGAACACCCGAGCCTCGAACTCGCGACCTGTTGGTTTAGAGGTCCACGCCTCTACCCACCGGGCCACGAGCCCGTTGCCCTTTACCCACCATCTGACGGCCTTCTAAATCCAGCATTCCATCACATATCGAATAACCTGCTTGATTGCTTGAATAGGGAATTTTCTAACCACATCCATCTGCTTGATTTTTATCCTTTCAGTGCACTGCAACCTTCGGCACCACTGGCACCTGCAGCTTCGACCGCGTGGAAGAACTGGGCCCAATCTGTCAGAAGTATGATCTGTGGCTCCATGTGGACGCTGCCTACGCCGGGTCGGCCCTAGCCTGTCCCGAGTTTCGCAAACTCATGCCCGGCATCGAAGTAATGAGTTAATGACATACTTAAAATACATGTTACAGTATAGATGCTGACCTAGACTAATGTGTTAAGATAAGAGGAACTAGAGGAACTCGGCGAATCCTTCCTTCCTACTATATATATATATATAAAGGAAGTGCTTACGACCCATATGGTAGACCCCGGTGGTGAATCAACTGCGCCAGGTGCGTCTGTGCACGTGTTTGTGTTTCTGGTCCCAGCTGTTGGGCAGAGTTATGATTGGCTGAATGAAGGCACAGTAAGCCCGTAACAGTACTGTATCAATCTACCCGCGTTATCTGTCGTCCATTCTTTAAGAAGCAGGCACCGATGATCCGTGTTTTGTCCCAAGCAAACGTATGCCCCGTGGCCAGGGTATGCATGGCTACTTGAGACAGGTGGTGTTCGTGAATGCGTGTAGAGGCGGATTGTTTTGCAAAACAATGCACAGAGGATTTCATGACACGGATGTTCCTGCTATTGCCTTACTCGAACTCTTAGACCTGTGTATGGAAGCCAATTTTTCGTTCGACCAACAGTACTACCAAAAACTGAAAGCCGCCCCAATGGGGTCACCTATCTCTGGCTTCCTCACCGAGATCACAATGCAGAAACTAGAGGCAACGGCTCTTCTGTTAGTTAACCCTGAATTGTGACTGCGATACGTGAACGACACATTTGTGATCGTTAAAACGATCAACTAGAAACTCTCCACAACACCATCAACTCAACAATGTCGGGGATAAAATTCACACTCGAGAAAGAAGTTGACAATGAACTCCCATTTTTGAATGTTCTCGTGCTGCGGAAGACCGACGGGACATTGCGCACATCGGTGTGCCGCAAAGAAACCTATGTTGAAGTCATTCTACACTACGAGAGCAACCACCCCATCTCCCACAAAAGAAGAACGGTCAACTGTCTGCTTAATCGGGCAAAAACACACTGTTCGGATGAAGAAGGCTACCGAGCCGAACTAAGTTACTTGTGTGAATTATTTTCCTGAAATGGGTACCCCAAGGATTTTTTGTGCCGATGAATGAGACAGAAAGAGTCAAAAGAAAGGGAACAAAGAACTTTCAGTCAAGCACCTAAGCCAAATACATGGCGAACACTCCCTTACATCAAAAACGTGTCTGAACTCGTGGAACGGCACCTAAACAGGCACCAAATTCTGGTGGCACACAGACCAACGACTACACTGCGTACTCAGATAGTACACCCTAAGGATAGAGTCAGCTATTTGGATAGAAAGGAAGTCGTCTACAAGATCCTATGTGAGGCCTGTAGTGCAGTTTATAGTGGTCAAACAGGAAAATCCGCATCTTCACGCATTCACGAACACCAGCTTGCAGTAAAGAGGCGAGACCACCTGCCTCAAGTAGCCATGCATACCCTGGACACGAGGCATACACTTGCTTGGGACAAAACACGGATTATCGGTGCCTGCACCTTCAAGAACGGCCGAGAGTTCCTTGAGGCCATGCACTCAGATGAATCGTGCCTCAACCGTCCTATCGAGTTGGATACTGAGTACAAAAGTCTCAAGGAGAAATGGAAGAGACGAGAGCCAATCGGGACAGAATGGCGCAAATAGCGGCCGCTCAGGACCGCAAACGCGAACGATTATCGATTTTTCATATGCACTGCCAGATGTTAACTGTTGTCGGCACATTTACTCTCAGTCTGCGTCTGACGACGAACTGGGGAACCGATGTCGAAAATTTACGCAATAAAGTACATCTTTCCAAAGAACGCCTCAGACTTCAGCATACATATATTTATGTATCGGTACCACCTGATTTACATCTACTACTAGTCGTTTGGTGACAACATGCGTGGGTTCTAATATGAAACCAAAGGCACAAGGAAACGAGCATGTCCCGTTACCTGATCGGTGAGTGCCCACTGTCATATATATATATATATATATATATGTATGTATAGATAGATCAGCGAAGAGCGACGATACAGAATGCGGGTAGGTTGATACAGTACTGTTTCGGGCTTATTGTACCTTCATTCAGCTCAGTTTAGGAAGCTGTAGACAGTACTCCTCTTGTGAGAGATGGGATGGTCACTCTCAAAATGTGGGATGACCTCGGAGTATGCTTATTTGCGATAAACTGAAGTCCGAAGGGATCCATCGGTTTTTCGGGATACGACGACGTCTAGAAATGGGAGCTGTCCGTCAGCTTGGGACAAAACACGCGCTGTCGGTGCCCGTCCCTGCAAAAAAGGCCGAGAGTTCCTTGAGGCCATGCACTCAGATGAATCGTGCATCAACCGTCATATAGAGTTAGACGCCGAGTGCAAAAGTCTCAAGGTGAAATGGAAGAGTTGAGAGCCAATCGGGACACAATGACGCATATAGCAGCCGCTCACGGGCGCAAACGCGAACGATTATCGATTTTTCATGTGCACTGCAAGATGTTAACTGTTGTCGGCACATTTACTCTCAGTCTGCGTCTGACGATGACCTGGCGAATCGGCGTCGAAAATATACGCAATAAACTATCTTTTTCCCAAAGAACGCCTCTGCCTTCAACTTATATTTCTTGGGATGCCTACCTTCCAATACATATATATATATGACTCGCCTTCATGACAACCCAGGTACTCAGATGGGCAAAGTTGAGAGATTCAGGAAGATTATTTGAAGAAGAAAATAGGCTCTCTGTAACAGGTTTATTTAACTGCTGACGTTACAAAGAGCTGGGTCGGCTGTTCATTGTCAAAGCGTAAAATGTACTTAGTCGATCAGAAATTTAATTTGAGGTAGCATGCTGTGTTGGTCGGCCTTATGCTGATCGATTTTTCTCCCCTTTCGCTGCCTCAGCCTCTCGAGAGATGGTGGACGGGAGTTTTGCCTGTGTGCTTTGTGAGACACCACTCCGTCGAGGGGAGCTGTGCGAACTTTTGTCGGGCGGTCGGTCTGGTGGTTCTCATTCTTCTTCACTGAGTAAACTCAGCGTCAGGCTATCTCCGTAGGGCCTTCTTAAGTCCGGTGTGGTTGTTTGGTCCTGAGCTCTACGATTATGATGACGTAGGACTTTGTAAGCTGCAGGAAGTTCCATATGCCTTTTGATAGAGTGGGCATCGGAGAACCACGCATCGAGAGTTAGCCGTTCTGCTTTTGTGTTGCCTCGGCCTAAGATGGCAGCCCTCTGGAGGTCAAAAGTATGCCCTGTTTCTCCAACGTGTGTTGCTATTTGAGAGTTAGGGTCTAACCTCCGATTGGCCGATTTGTGCTCTTGTAGGCGAGTTTGCGATTTCCGCCCGGTTTCGCCCACATAGTTGCAATCGCCCTCATTGCAATTTATTTCGTAGATAACTGCTCAGGTTTCGGCGAGTGGCAATGGGCCCTTGGGTTTCATTAGGCGACGTCGAATTGTTGATTGGGTTCGATGGGCTATGCCTATTCTGGTGGGTTGTAACAGTCGCGAGACCGCTTCAGAGACCGCTTTGACGTAGTGAATGACCCTCCGGACTTCGGGTTGCTTTTCATTTGGTCGTCGTCTGGGCGTCCAACGTCAGCTTCCCTCGATGAAATGTCTGGGATAACCACTGGCTGCAAATAGGTTCACAAGGAACAATCGTTCGGCCCTCTTATCTTCTGGCGTTCTGCAGTGTGTTTCTACTCTTTGGAATAGAGTGCGGATACAACCACGTTTTTGAGACAGGGGATGGCTGCTGTTGAAATGTAGAATCTGTCTGGAAAATCCACCATCAAGTAATTATCTCCTTCTCCTGACGTATGGATCTTTAACTTCACCTTTTTATGTTTTAAGGTTTCCCGTTTTCTGCGCATTCCGACTTTTACAGTACATCGCATTCGTCCCTAAGCAAAAAGGATTTTCTATTTACACGATGCTATATGCTTAAGAGTGAGCTTCTCATGACGCTTTCAGTCAACCTTAACAACATGTGTTTTGTAGTACACTTCCTCCTTCACAATGAATCCATATAAGATGCTCCTCATGAATTTCGACACTTCTGTCATCTGGTAGGTGGATCATTCTTATAGTTATCTCAAGTAAACTGTTTCAGATGAAAAAAATTGCTTCTGTTTAAAACTTATTTTGTGCCGTTAGTTACTATTTTGGAGATTCCGCGAATACTTTTGAAATTTTTGATTTGATGTACGAGGTCATTGGCTAGCTGAGATTTTCAGATTTGTAGGTATGTCCAATAATCATTAAGTACAAATTATCGCTTCGCTGTGCTCTTGGCACAGCTATGAGGAGGATATCAAACACCTTTAGTTTGTGACTTATTTGTCTTGCTCGAAGGTCCCACTTTTGTTTAGGAAAGACTTTATTTTTCTGTATTTTTTGGTGAATTGGGAAATGATTACGTGGAAATTTGATATTCAGGTCCGGAACAGCAGAATGTTTGACCGTTCGAATTTTTAGGCCCTACTGAAAAAATAATTTATGCTCACCGGATTTCTAGCGAAGAGTGTACCAGAGGCAAAGTCTTACAGACGATGTGAATTATGTAAACCGGGATGACAAACACTCACTAAGCTTGACTTGTCATAATTATCCAGAAGTAAAATCAGTCTGCTCACTCGTTTACTTTAACGTAAATGCCAGCTTTTAGATTTGCTGTTGTGCTGGTCCTCCACATAAATGTCTTCTTACTTGCTGAGCTTTAATGATTTAACTAGAAGATACAAGGCCGGTCTGAAGCACAGTCAGTGACTGATCTCATGAAATATAGAGCGCAATTGCGAAAAAGGTATTACATCAGGAAAGTTTGCCTAAGTGTAATTTTAATACTGATTATCTTGTAGCATAATGCCATAACGTTTCAGACAGGCCAAGATGATGGTTTTTGAATGCTCCACTTCTTGGCCGCCTGCAATGACTGAAACATGTAAAAACAGCTACTTAATCTGTAGGCATTTTTTCTACTTTATATTCTATAGAAAACATGCATTCAAATGTTCTTCCTTACATATATTTCGTGGCGTATAAGGACTTTTTGAGATTTTTACCCAAAAAAGGTAT